ACCACAACTGGTATATAATGCTGGTCATTATCGCAAAATAAACCCTGACAGTGTGAACGGGTCTTGTGTCTCCCTGAAGGGGTTTATTTCGTGATAATGATCGGCTGATTATACATTAATGTATAATTTATTGTACATTATTCTGCTTAGTAGACAGATACCAATTACATATGGACATGAAATCGTGATTGACTGAGTTGAAATGACTTTATATGAGAATAAAGAGGCAAGTAGGATATAGTCTTTTTTGACCATTGACCATTTGAAACCGTTGCAGTCTGTCAGTCATTTTAGTGTCAGGGTTTAATTTGGTTTTGTTTGTGTATGTTTTTTTGACTCTCAAAGCTGTGATCCACTTGCTTTATAACACTGACAGACTGCAACGGTTTGAGTTAAAAATCTTCGTTTGTGTTCTACTGAAGAAACAAAGTCATCTACATCTTGGATGCCCTGGGGGTAAGCAGATAAACAACAAATTTCCATTTTTGGGTGAACTATCCCTTTAAGGCCCGTCACATCAAGAACAATAACTATCAACAGAGTCTACACAATATTTCAAGCACAGTGCGGTCTGCTGTTTTAAATTCCTGAGCTGTTTAAAACTTCTGATTGGATGTAAATGTTTTTTATCATTCATCAGCTGGAAAAATCATTCAGAAAGTAATTCCAACAATATATTTTCTCTGTATCGTTATTGTAGCTATTAGCTGTAATGTAGACTTCCTAATTCTTGCAGTCTTTGTTGTGAATGGGCCTTTATAAAGTGAACAGTCTCATTGATGCTGGACTACTCTCTTACAGTGGACTATGCTCCATGTCAGCCAATCAAATTCAAGGACCGGAACTATTTAAAATAATATTCAACTTTAGAGTGCTGCAATCGACCAATCAGAACCAGAGCACCGCGTAATAAAGTCCTGGTTAAACAAACACCAACAAGAACATAAAAATAGCGGCAAAACCCCCTCGGAGTTCTTTCTTGTGTATATAAAAGCCTTGTGTAAAGCAGAGTGAGTTACTAAAACACTTCTCCGAGAGGCTTTGGGAGCGAGCAGAGGGGAGCCTGTGATATTTTTCAGCCTGTACAAACACACCGGCAGACCTTAAAGGTAGGGCAGCTCTGTCTTAAATATACACCAGAGAACCCAGAACTCACCAAATGAGTTCTCTGGAGATCGTTCCCGACACCTGCAGTCATTTTTCAAACGATTTAATTGGTGTACTTAAGTCAGCTGATACCTACGCCAGTGCTTTGTTGCTAGGCATCGTGACACAAAGGTCTCCAGGTACAATTAACCCCATTGTGACACCGCGATGTACACAGAGTGTTTTCGGAAGGGACTAACTTGAGCATACGTATATCGGGTGGGGTTTAACATTAATTCACGACTGCCATCACTGGGACTTGTGCTTTATACTAAGGTAATGACCAGCTTTTCCCATACTACTACTACAAGTGGCAAACACCTGCTCGCAAGTACATATACGACACAAAGAGACTCCCCCTTCCTTACTATGAGATCCACGCGCTTTCAGAGGACCTGTTTGACAGAATGGCGTTTTTTTCTGCGATTGAACAGGTTAGGATGCAGTGCTGCAGCTCTCCTGTCTAAGTGGTCTCCTGATAAGAGGGAAGCTGAGATTTCTCTCAGTATTTCTCTCCTGGCAAACAGTGAACACAATGAGTCATGACACTATCCAAGGGCTCCAGTGAAGTGTGTGGGTGGACAGCTACAGTGATAGTGACTGTATGAAGAGAGCTTGCTCATCCAGGACTCAGAGAGAGAGAGAGAGATAGAGAGAGAGAGAGAGAGAGAGAGAGAGAGAGAGAGAGAAGAGAGGAGAGGAGAGGAGAGGAGGCAGGGTGGAAGATGGATTTCCACACATTTATAATAGCTGTCACACCTTACATTCAGCAAGGCAATTTCACATTTGAGAATGGGACAGCGACTTAAATTAAAAATGACATTAATTTCTGCCAGCCTGCACACATTGCATTTTTCATCCCGCTTAAAACACCTCTTGATTAGGCTCTGGGAAGACACAAATGTACCGCACAACAATAGGACTGTCTGATTGGATTCTGTGTACAGTACGTCTTGGGGAAAAATGTATGAAAGGGTGTTGTTTCTGAAATCATGTTTTCCCCCTGAACATTCCTCTATTTGTTTAAGTCTTTTAAAAAATTTTTTAATCCTGCACTCTGAAACATTTCTAATTAGGAATGCAAGACAAAAACAGTCCAAATCGAGATGTAGCTATTGTTATAGTTGAAACCAACTCGACAACCAAAACATTTAGCAGTGTAATTTCAGTGGCAGAGATTTCTAAGCCAAAGACTTTATTTTCCAAGATGGTCTGAGGCTATCGACTTAAATTCTAACCTCTTGAGCTTTATTTGAACCAATTGTACTTAGGAAATAATTTTGTCTATGGTGTTACATAAGGATTTCACTTTTTTTCTGGTGATTACATTTTAATGTCTCGCTACTCATTTCAAAACATTTGATAAAGATCGCTATGACAATTATTTCACTTAATTAAAACAATCTTCATATTTTAGGCTCATAAAATGGACATCAAATGGAGAGCCAACACAGTACCAGATTATTTAAACAGTAACATTCTGATAAAACCAAACATTTAAAAATATTAATATTACCATGAACTGCACAGGCCCAGCAATATGCAAGATTACGAACAAAAAATTGGCAGAATTTCAAAACCGACAATTTTATAAATGCATAAACAACAGAGAAGTGTGATTTATAGTCATTATAGTTGGATCGTTTATTTTCTAAATGTCAAATGAATTTGGTTTTGTGCTCATGGCAGCCAATAATTCACCGCACATAACAATGTGTTCAGAAACCATGTTTATCCTCTTGGCAAGTGAACTTGTATTTAATATTTGTATTACCTTGCATAGTTTTGTTCATGGTTATCAAGGATGAGGGCATGTCAAGAACCCTGTCTGTGTTGGCATCTGTCTAATCTAGCTGCTTCTACCAAGTAAAAGATGAATTGGTGCCAAAAATACAATAATGGGCACAGACTTGGAAATCAACAATAAAAGACACTTGTTCCACTTAAGCCTATTTATGTCATTATTCTATCAATGCACTTTTTTTTAGTTGAATTGTATTTGGGTCATTCCACAAAATCAGTGCCTTTTCCACTTGGAAAAATAAAATAAGTTTAATCAATATTTTTTAAATATCCATGAAATGAAGACACCTTAAAATGACAAGAAATTGTATATGTGCCATCTCAGGCTATGTAATTTATTCATTTATTATCTTTCTACCTCATGTTTTGGTATGTTTGTCAACCCTGTTACCGACACAATCATTACTATAGTTTAATTAGAACTCATATGCCACTGAATGATATAGGCAAATAATATACCTTTAAAACTTTAAAATGTTTGAATTTTACACAGACAATCTTTAAAAACAGGGTCAAACCTAATCAATGTCATCCCTGTTACTCACATGTCAAAACCTGTTACTCTAAAAAGTGTAAGGTTGACAGTAACAGGTTTGACAATTTCAAACAAATTTGCTAATTGCTAGCTAATAGTCAAGTTCACAAAAGCACATATTGTACACTTTGAAAGGATTTTACTTGCAGATATTGATTATATTAAAGTGTAAGGTTGACAGTAACAGGTTTGACGATTTCAAACAAATTTGCTAATTGCTAGCTAATAGTCAAGTTCACAAAAGCACATATTGTACACTTTGAAAGGATTTTACTTGCAGATATTGATTATATTAAATGTAATAAATAATTGTTTAAATTTACATTTTAAAAATGGTAACAGGATAGACGTTGCATGTTGCACCGATTTCGGACCCTTGCAGTCCCCTTCAGAGCATATATATGACCCACACCAGTGGCACAGCATTACTCTAATGAAGTATTTCTACAATTATATAATATGCATCTCACTATGTGTGTAGCCTTTAACAAGTCAATCAAATTTACAGATGTAAACAAATGTGAGAATGAAAACAAACTTACACAAGAGCTGTTGGGCTCTGTATTCAACTTTGTGCATTTTAATCGTTGTGCATGTTCTGGCATACAATCTTTTGCAGGTATATTCATTTCTTTTGAATCACAAATCAATTGCTTGAAAAAAGTTGAAAATAAAAACCATGAGTGAAATGGTTCAAAACTCTTTTATTTTATTTTATTTATTTTTTTATCTTTTCCAGACAAACACATTGATTTCTGGACCACAGTAGAGGATGGAAACCTTTCACAAACATTTTTTATTATTATTATCATTATTATTTGAAAATACAAATATAAAATTATACTTTCCACATCTGAGATGTGAGAGACCCCCATCCACTTTAGTTTATTTTACAACAGGGCTTGAGCAAGCCATACAAGAAGACCTGAAAGATGCTTTCAGACATCAGTCCGTTCAGTCAGTTCTCGCGGTAAAAAGTCCGTTAACATTAAAAAATGGGCAAGTGTTAGGAATGGGCAAGGCAATCAGCGAGGCCGAGGCCTCAGGAGAAAATGGGAGACGAGTGTCAAAAAGAAGACCCTCCATCTAAAGACACCATATTGACCGTACCATCTCCATTGAGCTACACGTCCTCATCAGGTTTACACGACACATTCTGCAGCTAAACTACTACCGGGCCTCCTGTACATCTGCTGCAGCTCCTACACGACATGATTCAACAGCCAATGAAACGAACAGTGTGGACTAGCATCAGTTCACCTACGATGATGAGTCATGAGGCAGTTTCAACAATTTAACAAAGAGATATATACACTATACATATATATATATCAAGTATACTGTACATTAGACATTACAGTGTAGAACGTTTTGCTGCTTTATTAGTGGGATGATCGTTTTGGCCATTGCCTAGCACTTGCCGCAAAATTCAAGTTTAAATGGATACGGTAGTTCACTCCCAAAATCACTCAACACCTTCCAGGTCATTTTCTTTTTTCATTTTCATTTTTTTTTGTTAAACCAACAATTTTCCAATGATTTAACTAGTCTAGCAAGATGTGTAACATTCATCCGCTGTAAACTGCTGTCCATGGAAAACAAAATGATGGCAACAGAGCCATGCTACCTTAAAGTCCAAGCTACAAGATCAAATTACGGGAAAAACTGGGTAAGCTAACAGATACGAATGGAAAAGACTGTTTAAAAGAGTTGCCAGCCTTCATTTTAATCAAGAGTCACAGCAGAAGGGAAATGTGCTTCATCTGCTGTTAAACATTTGCCTTAATCGCGGACCATCTAAATGTGTACCAAAGCCTAAATGGATGCTGGATACTCAATTTGTTAAGAAAGAGACGTCCAACTAAGAACAACTAACCGCCTAGCGTTGCATTTTATAAAGATGTCTTCAGGAAGAAAATGCCGTGCACCTTTCATCCCGACAGCACCTTAAAATTTCGCTCAAATGTATTGAATAAACTTGAGTTAGACACCTTTCATTAAAAGTTGTGCTGATCGTAACTCACTAGTAGCATAAAAATCTCCCTTGCGAAGGTGGCTCATGTTTGATATCCCTGAGAACAGATGTGATTCAGGAATACAGATTCAGAGTGACACTGGATTTACACTAAAGTCAAGCTAATTAGTGTGACGTGCTGTCTGGTGTCGAACGTAGATGCTGAATTAAAATGAAAAGCTGGCAATGCAATTAAAAAGTACAAAAACAATCATATTCTATGTCCCAGGTGACTCAAAACTAAAGTATGTATTAATCTAGGCATAAAAATAAATCCAAAAAAAGGAGCATTTAAAAAAAAAAAAAATAGCGCCGTAGGCCACTGGGATATCAAAAACCTATGACAGTTTTATCCATATCTATAATGATTAGCCTATATCATCATTACTTTGTTAGAACTTACTAAAAAAATATTTATGAATTTTTCATTCATGTAATAAAATCACCCTCTTCATAATTATAGCTTGCGTCCCTCTTAAAAAAGAACGAAAGTAAAACGGTTTTGCATATCTAGCGTTAGCATTTAAGGTAGTATGGCACACCCCTTTTAAAACATTCAAGGGTGGGGATCCAATTAATGCCTTGATTACAATTCTGTTGTACAGCAATTTCTTTCTCCTAGATTTCATCAGTGAGAGCTTTGGTTAGTTGAAACCATGTGAGACCAGCAAAACAGTGGAACAAAAAGGAGAAAAAAGAAGAAAGAAAAATTTCGAAGGAAATAACGCTCAGCATTTTTTGTCTTTTTGTCTTTAAATGATTATAAAGAGAAAGTTCTATCCTTACTGGTCCTACGATTGCTAATGAATACCTCTACATCTTAACATTAAGTACATAACACCTACGACTACTCACTAAAGAGAGAGTGGGATATAGAGAAAGGGCAAAACGACAAAAGGAGAATGAGAGGGGGGAAATGTGAAAAATACCAACCAAGAAGTGTATAGACCACTACACTGGCATCAAGACAGCACTCTTTTACAAGGTTAAGTCATATTCCTGTTTTTTTTTTGTTTTTTTTTAACACACTACTAAAATACAATGATCAACATAAGATTACTGAATGAGGTGACAGGGAATGAAGAGAAACAATTGATAAATACAGTACATATTATCTGTATTATTGTCAGTTATATTTAGTATAATCATTAACATCCACAAAAATATTGATAAAAATCCATCCCTATTTAAATTCAAAACATGTTCGGGATAATTTTCTTTCTTTCTTTTTTTTATACGTTTGTCTTTTTTAAAACAGCTCAAACAGTTAGCACAAAGTTCTTCTAGACTTATTTTTTTTTTTTTCATTACTTTTATCACGTCTCCTTCTTGAGAAAGAATCCAGCATTCTGCCTCATCTGTTAGTTTAGTGAAATGAACAAAAAAACTAACAAAAAATCAAATCAACGAAAATAAAACATTTATCGAATAACAGCATACATCATATTCATATTTCTAAATGCCATTTGTGTCTCATCAAATCCAGTCCCCACATGTACAACAAATGTGTGTAGCAGCTACTGGTTTCAATCAGCTTCAGTGTTTCTGAGGAAATTAACTATTGCTACCAATAAACTCATCTGTCATCTCTGATATTCTAGAATAAAATCCCTGGAAAGAGATTATTTAAAAGTACAGTCTTCGAATCAATGCAAACCAAGACTCGAGATTCGTAAATGTTATCCCGTGTGGTAAGAAACAAACGGCTTCCACAGCGGTCCTTCACATGACCCACGTTAGAGACTGTCAGTTCACATGTGCAAATAGAAAATGATAAATTCTCTCTCACAGTGCAATGATTTACTTAATTTCAAAACAACACTTTAATATCTTGTTCAATATCTGTCTCAGGCTAAAATAAATTAATTTGTAATCTCCTTTAAAGTAATTCTCACAGGACTGAGGTAATGGTAGAAAAGATTGTTTTTTTCCTAATTGTAGAGCAATTTCAAAACATTCTGAAATATTGCCTTTGTTATTCGAATCGTTCGGATCGCGTAAAAATCTCGACACGCGCTGGGAAAAAGAAGCTCACACCAGAACGCCAAATGAAACGCTTACATGAAATGTCTCGACACGGTTTGAAATCATAGTTCATGTGTGCTTTGGATTTTGTCGTGATTTTTTTTCTTTTGTTACAATGCTGATTTCTGAATACCTTGTAAAGTATATTCTCTTTGTAAGCTGTGCACATCTTAACGTACTATCTAATCCATATGCTGGTATGACACCTGCACAGTTGTAAAGCCGACAGTATTTACAAAGCGAGCTAACAGTGTTCGATTGAGTTTCGTCCGTACTGGGGTAAATCACGGCCTTTGTGCTACAGATGGACCTCGGTTACTGCATTGAGCCTCGAAGATATTTTTCATATGACATATTTCGGTTTGCGCACGATACAACCTCGATGACACCATCACAAAAATATGGTTCTCTCTCAGAAACAGTTTGACGCAGTGAACAGAATAATATATACAGTCTCAGAATTCTTTTCTTTTTAAATCTCATTTCACAAAGTATTAAAAGGAAAGCTTTTTCTTTTCTTTTCTTTTTTTTTTCATCGACAACAAAAATGACATTTATAAAAAAGGACTGTGAAAATATTGTAGTCCTCTTATTGCCCAAAATAGGTAATCATGGTTAACAAGACATCACAATAAACATAGAGCTACTAAGATTTTTTTGAGTTACCCACTCATTGCGGTTTAGGCTTGAATTAAAAATGTCACCATTTCAAGCGGAGTCATTTCAATCCGTTTTCTTGCTTGTATGAAACGTGATAGACGAGGGCTGTGAAACAAAACTGCTATGGGAATATTACTACCAAAACAAAACAAAAAATGACATTTTATGTTTACATAGTCGCTCTCATCAGAGAACATTCAAGAACAATGAAGAACATCTAGAAACTCAAACAAACGTTGGTTGATTCAACGTGTACACAATAAAAGATGACTAAAATGCTTCTAAAAGGAAAAACAGTAAAGGAAAAAATTAAATCCTAATTCAAGGTCAGGGCTACACTAGGATAAAATATTCAAAAGCCAGGTTTTCAGTATAGTACAGCAGATTGTTTAGTTGTTTTTGTTTTTTTTTCTTCTTTCTGAGATGATTCAGACGTTTCGGTTTGTTCTTCGTGTGGCGCCATCTCAGCTTTAGATTCCCGTTCAGCGCTGTAGTGCTTGAAGTTTAATGGCCTTTACCTGTACACAGAACCAGTTAGAAACTCCGGCCAGTCTTCCCCGGGCCTCCTGATAAACTCTGCTGAAACAAACAGAGAAGTTGCTCAAAATTCACACATACTTTCAGGAAAATGGTGTGTGTGTGTGTGTGTGTGTGTGTAAAGTGTGCTGCATCTGAGCCTTGCTGGTGACAAGTCTGAACACATCTGACTACCAAAAACATATTTTTCATTATCTTCCAATGAGAGGAAAAAAAATCATCCTAAAATGATAGATTTGTATACAAATACACTACTGTTCGAAAGTATGGGGTCAGTTAGACTTTATGCAGTAATGTAATCAAAGTGACAGTACAGATATTTATAACTTTACAAAATATTTCTTTTTCAAATAAATGCTGATTTTTGAACTTTCGATTCATTAAATAATCCTGAACAAATGCATCACAGTTTTCATATTAAACAGCACAACTGTTGTTAACATTGATAATAATAAAAATGAATGTTTCTTGAGCAGCAAATCAGCATATTAGAATGATTTCTGAAGGATCATGTGACACGTAATGAAAAGTCAGCTTTGCCATCACAGGAATAAATTACATTTTAAAAAATATTAGCTCAAAACATTTTAAATTGTAATGATAATTCACAATATTACCATTTTAACTGTATTTTGAAAAAATACTTTCAGCTTGTAGTTTATAAATTCTGACATTTTTTACAATTCACATGAATTTCAAATACAAACTGTTTTTCTAATAAAGCCAAGGTTTTTAAAAGCACAAATTGGCTTTGGAAGTACATTGTGTTTGATGAACTGAAGCTTCCAATCCTACACAGTAAATCTAGTTTAAACATAAACCATGTATTGATTCAGTCCGGCTGAAAGATTGCTGCCGACAGCTTTAAATTGAAGTAGAGATGTTATATCGTCAGAATCACTCCACCGTCAGCATCTTTTCATTATAAGGTTCGGTCGTTTAGGCTCAGATACAGAACACACTGGCACTTTTATGCGAACACATCTTATCTACATGGGGTTCAGACATCGACACGACACATATGTTAGTGTATCAAGCATGCAGAGACTCTTCGGATGTCCATTCAACCAGGAAATGACAAGTTAAGAACCTGCTTCTGCAATATTTCTCCGCTGCTGTTGCTTTCTCTGACTGCTGACGTGTACTTCAATCAAACGTTTGGAGAATCAATACAGACGGAGCGATTCTACCTACTCATTAAATCAATCATCCGTTTTGCCTCGAGGACAAAATGAGAAGCTCTTTAGGAAGATTATGGGCAACAAACCGCAGACAGGTCACAGGTAAATGCCACGGAGCCACAGAGTCTGGCGTAATCGCACTTGATGCTTCACCGTAGGAGAGAAAAAAACCGTCTGGGTGCAAATATTAACTAAGTATAGGGGAGGGATTTTGACCGAATAAATGCGCATCCACTTATCCACACACACTGCATTTAAATAAGCGAGTCATCTCCGATTGAGCCATATCTGGCATCTCAGCATATACTCAAAATCACCTTTAAGTCCTTAAGACCTAGCTATACAAGCACAGTGATTACGGAAACAGCGCCTTATAAGAAAAACCTGATGAATTACATCAGATGGCACCTAAGTCAACAGATTCTCAGCAAAGAGGGCTCGCTTCCAGGTGCACACTAATCAAAGCCGCAACACCTGTGCATAATATCCAAATACAGCACTTCACAGAGGATATGAGTCGATGTGCGTCGGGCGCGCAGTGCCGTGGCTGTCGCAATACAACTCTGGCAGTGAAAGAAAGCAACTGCGCAGATCTGAGTAGACCCGCTCGCAGACATCATGCATGAAAGGAACAGTTGAATGACAGACAGGCAGGCGGAGGATAACTAGTGATAAAAAGTAAAGGGGGAAATGTGTAGCCGCCACACTTACGGTGTTTGCGAAGCGAGGCTTTCAAAGGGCTTCAAAATGTGGAATCAATAATAAAATAGATGTTCAATGAGAGATAAGACTTCTGAAAACCAGGTTGTTGCATATGAAGTTTAAATTTCCTTGTCTGAGATGTAAAAGCCCTGTAAAAGCCTACGGTGTTGATGAAAAATAAAAGCACTACACGGATTCAATGTAAACTCATCTGAGATCAAAATGAGAGGGAATCAAAATGAATAGGCAGATGGAACAGGAAGATAGTAGTGAATAGATACATAATTATGAAGGCACAAATCAAAATATATATATTTCATAAATGGTACAGGATATCTACCTCAAATGAGATGGCAACCAACCACCTGTTAGGTTTCAATGGTATCCATTTGTGAAAGCTGTCGCAATCAAAGGACCCTAAAAGTGTACAGTTAGTAATGGTGTCAGTATGCATTCTGAGTGAAAAGGCTAATATGTCTATCACTCGTAAGTCATTTCAATCATCGCATGTGTTGCTAGCATGAATGAATGTTATATAAACTATAAAGATCAGTCCACATCATTCCCTCGGTCTGATCTAGGTGAACAGCAGGGGAGAGCAAGAACAACTGTAACACTCAGTAAATGTAATAGGTCATAAATTAATGCACAATACACTTATTGTGCCCATATTTTAACACCTGAATGAACTGTATCAAACATCAAATTGTATTGAAAGGATTGTGACCTTTGCCAGACTTTTAAAGATTGCATGACTGAAACATTGCAATATATATACAAGCTACAGTGTGGAAGCAAATTAAGCAAAAAAGTTGTAATAAATTTAAAAGCGTATTAAAAAAATATGGAATTTATAGTTTTAGGGTCATAATTATATTTACAATAAACCAAATCACACAATCCTTTAAAAGTTACATTGTTGGCCTTTTTTTTTTTTACTACTACTACTAAAAATAATAATTAAAAAAACTTTATAAAACTTAACATACATAAAAAACAACAACAACAACAACAACAACAAAAAAACAGAAACAGTAGACTGACAATTACATGAACTAGAATCATTCACATAATTAAATTTTTCAATTTTCTGTTACATCACATACTGTATCACCATTTAAAATTATGCAGAATACTTGTATACTTGTTTAATGTTTTCCATCTCAATTAGGTAAATTTAATAGAGGCTGGTAATCAAAGATATTTGAGGTTAATTTAGGCTAAAAAAAATCTTCTGGGAAACAAAAAGTGTTACATTTACTCCTGCTCTCCCCATTTAAATCTTTTTATTTTGCCAAACGATGAAGTAAAATGGAAAGAAATATCTACATTTTAAAGAACAAGAGAGCATGGAAAGTATGCTTTTCAACAAAGATCAAGTAATTGCATATATTGTAATCATCTACATTCATGCCAACAATAACAACATTAATGAATTCATCTGAAATCACAATTCATGCAGCAAACATAAGCAAGAGACAAATGCTGTCAGAAATCACACATAAGCCCCGATCTGAGCAGGAGAACTGTGAACTTCACCTGCGTCAGGTTCCTGTCCAAACACTGGTGAGTGTAAACATTAGCCAGATGTATCCACCCATTTCCTAAAGAGCCTACTGCGTTTTAAATTATGGGAGGCACTTCCGGTTTGGGGAAGTTTGGCTTAAAAATACTGAAACATATCATTTCAAATCATAAAGTTGCACTACAAATAATTCTTATCCGTTAGTTTGACTGAATGAGCTGTACATTTTCCTTTATGTTCTATTTTCAGACTTCAGAGAAATAACGTAACGCCTGGTATTTTAATGTGACCTGGTATAAGAAGAATATCTATGGCAAGAGCTCTTTTGAATCCACTGCATTCTTTTCCTCCTGGTTATTTTTTTTCTTCCCTTGTATTCCGCTGTAACAATATGAAAAAAGACAACATACACTGTGCATTTGTGGTCTGCTCTCTTGATTTAATTTACGATACATCCCATGAATAATTCACTGGAATGCACTAAGAATCTCTCATTTTTCTGCCCAAAAATCCTCACGTCTCTTTCCAGGTTTGTTTTCACACAGATGCTTTCAAATGTAATTGTCTCCCCTTTCTGCTTCTAATCCATATTAGCAGTGTTTACTGGAATGTTTCTAAAGCAGGTAAATACAATATTTGTAATCACTTTGAAATACTATCACTCAATGTTAATGAAAATTTTAGATTATGGCAACATATAGACATTACCACAGTGATATTTAACATGTCTGTAATATATCTGCAGAAAGGTTCGAGATTTGGGGGTTAAGCGTGGTTTTTAGAAAGTCATTTGTTAATGCTTTAACAATTTTAAATGTCCTTTTAATGGCTGAAGGGCGAGTAGAATAATGTCACCTTAATGTACCCAGTTTTAAAAAAATTCTTATTTTGTTCACAAGCTAATTGTTTACAGTTTAACAGAAGTTACTCCCATAATTTTCGCAAGTGTCAAGGTGCGTAAGAAAATGGTGGATACATTTATAGAAAGAAATCTTTTATAAAAAAGCTTTTCAGTTTGTGAGGATGCTACAGAGGCTAACAGAAACAGCAGTTCATGTCAGACAGCTGAAGAAAAAAGTCTTTCTTCCTCTAGAACACTGTCAATCACTAGTGAGATGTTCTGAGGGTTTGAGGCCAACCTAAATTTGACTCTATTTAGGTTAGAAAAACTCCATCTGAAAGTCAAGCGCAAGGTGACATTGTTATTCTGAAAATCCCATTTAGATTTAATGAGTGCCTGGTTTTGCAAACTGTACTTAAGGGCAGAAGAGAGAGAGAGAAAAAAAGTAATTTGCTTTTCCTCACAAACAAGAGATTGGAGGGGCATTGAAAGCAGAATGAATCAGAGGTGTGTGCAGATAGGCAATAAACAGTGTCCTCACATACAAAGGCTCTTATTCATTTTTCCAGCAGATCTGGACGGCGGTTCAAAAAACGTCCGGAGCCGGTAATTCCCTCGGCAGCTTGTGATTTAGTGTGGCCTCCCTCATCAACCCCCCTGCGAGTCAGCCCTGCTCCTTTTCTCTTCCGCCTGACTCCTGCTCCATCTCTCTGCTCCATTAAAGGTTAAAAACTAATGCACGGAAGGAATAATGAATGCCTATGGCTTCAAAGGGCAAGACAACATATTCTTATGACAGGGTTTCTCACAAGAGTTGATTATCGCCTTATTGATTTACATATGCACTTTGTGTGGGGGACCTTTCAAAGGCTGCCTCTGGTATGCCCATCATCTGCTCGAAAAATAAAAAAGCCATTGTGTGCGGGAAACAAAATACCGGGTTGAAAATGAGAGAAGAACTAATTGTGATATTTCTGTCCTCCGGGCTGGCACATGAACAAAAGCACACTGACACATCACACTGCTGCTGACAGCCGGTACAAGTTCACAGTTTGTTATCCTGAAGTTGACAGAGAGAGAGAGGAATGCTGGTGGGAATGCAGAAATGTTAGCAATGCTAAAACCAACGCTATCTAACTTGAGCTATTTGCCAGGGCACCTGCTTTGCACTAATGAGACCGTGATTTCACATTTTTCAGCCTTCAAAAGAGACGTTTTTATAGCCTTATTCATTCCTGATAATTAGTATGGGTAAAACATGCACATCTATCACACCTTTGGACCCATTGCAACCTAATGCATTTGAGATGATTTATTTAGTACTTTTTCACATGTATTTGCTTCTTTTGATTTCACATACCTGCATATCACACATTCTTTTAGTCCTATTAGTTGTGTTAGAATTATTTATTCCTTCAACACAAATTCAATTTTAAAATGTATTAGCCAATTAATTTATTAGCAATTAACAATGTGGAGGGAATTCATTAAAAAGATGCACCACTTTTGTGCAAGGTATTTCAGTGTAAAAAAGTGTATTTAAAATGATCGTCATTCTTTTTGTACAAGCATGCCTCATTTCTATGCAAATTGCAACAGGATTCTATTTAAATAAAATGTTATTTTGTATGGTGCATGGATCAAGTTAGGTATACAGTAAAAAAGTTATGAATAAAGATTATTAGAGTATGTTTTACAAGAAAATACTAGTCAAAGTGTTTTTTGCTGTTTCTTTGTAATTATTTGTAAAATCTACTAAACATTTCTGAGTGAAAAATGCTTCAAAGATATTTTTTTCTGCTGCATTTGGGACTGCAAAATGGTGAACTGTGCCATGCAAATTGTATTCAGCTCATTTTGTGGGCATATTTGCACTATTACACAATTACGTGAACTGAGGGCTAAAACAAATCTGACATCAAGTGCAAATATGCTATAATACAGATTATAAATATGCTACAATATAAAAATGCTAAAAAGTTATTTTTAGTGAATTCCCTCTTGATGTTTAAACATATTCAACTAGTTTAAATGTCAACACAATTCAGTCGACTAGGAATTTGATCAACCTGCTGAGCCAATTGCTTGCTTTCCAAAGGAACTTTCAATCTGGACTTTTTCCACTCAAACTATAGCAAAGAATATTCACTCTATAAAAACTACAATAGCAGCTACATGAGTCTAAAAGAGCTAACTCGGGCAAGGTGGTGAATGAATTAGGTGGCACAGAACAGAGAAACAGTGATGGAGGTGAATAGGGTACTTACAGCAATGCTGTGTCCGAAGCCGGAGCCGGGCTGGGGACTGGCAGCGCTAATGTAGTTGCCCACACCGGAGTCCTGGCTGGTGGGGCCGTACAGGTCAGCCACTGGCCCGGGACTGCTGGCTCCAGGAAAGGCTCCAGGCCGGGGTGGGTTGGTGCCTGCCGGAGAAGCGGCCGTGCCAACAGTGATGTGAGCAAGGTTGCTAGTCAGGACTGCTGGTGTGTAGTACGACTAACAAGCTTAGCACAAGCATGCACTATAAGCACAAAACATCATATTTTGAAAGGACGTTGTGTGTGTATGTTTATACTGCCTGAGGTTTTTCAGGAATAGAGGCCTAATGTCTTCTTTATGGTTCATCCAAAAGGAATGAAATGAAAAATAAAGAAGCTGGTCATCAATTCTTGCAAATAAACACACACACACACACACTGCATAACACAAACTAGTCAGCTATACTTCAAGCTAGCGACAACTGCAGCAATACATCTCATCATTCATGCAGATGAAAGTACGCTTATGTGTGTCAGACGCATCTGGCCTGCATTCACCTGGCATGCATGCTACTCAGGTAGGTTGTAGGTGAGCTGGACTGCTGTGTGATGGAGTGATGTTTAAAAGTGTGAGTGAGAATGAATTGCTTCCTTGCAGGTTCCTTTCATTATCATAACCTCACCCTCTCTCCGCTCTCGTACACTCCCTTTCCCCCAATCTCATATCAAGTACTCTACACCCATCCTCCTTCAAATTTGACTGCCGGTTCTTCAGTCCCTTTCTGAAAATTGCACGGGGGATTTTGCCACAACACACCCTATCTAATCAACACCTGTCATTGAGAAAGTGGTCTCTCCTCCTCCTCAATTTTTATTTTTATTTTTTTTTAAATATATACGGTGGTGATTATCTGGCAGTTAGCGTCAGGGGGCTATCAGGCCTAGCAGCTGCCTGGAAACCAGGAAATTGCCGAGGGTGTCTTGGGTAAAACGCATTGAAGACTGAATCATGGAGTTTCCTCTCCACTGCGAGCGTGACTCCACTTTTGCTTAAGCTACATTTGAGTCTGAAAGCAGAAACTGTTGAAGATGAAGCCTGGAAGACGAAATTAAACACTCACCAAGCACAAATTGCAAGTAAAACTTGACTTTGGTGAATAAATAAAATGTTGCTGGGTCATTTTGCTTAGAAATTCAACATAAAATATATTTTAAGTCAAATTGTAAAAATGATAGTTTAGCCCTCGCTGATGTAAGTGACATGGGCAATTCTAATCAAAGATGTTGCCATGTACACGTTTTATTCAAATAACTTGTGGAATCAGAAGTTTATCAAAGTTTTAATAAAGTTGTCTCTAGAACTAACATTCAAAAACACAAAACAAACATATGAGAAATGATGTGTTGGCATGTTTTTATGACAGATGCCGTTTCACTAACAGACACAATCAAACAAATTTCAAAGGACAAACAGCTATTAGCTGTTTATGATATCCAACTGTCAAAAGTTTGAAAAACATATTTTAATTAAAAAAAAAGAAGCAAAATAGAGTTTCATGGTTAGAAAGAAATATTTAAGTTAGGTAAGATTTCTCAATTGACAAAAAAACAGTTCTAAATAAAAAAAACTAACTAGACATTTTGTAACTAACTGAAACAAGTTTAAGCACTAGGATTACTAACTAAAACTAAAGCTGAAATAATAATATTAATAGTAATATTTTAAAAAGCATACATATTATAGCACATAAATAATACTAAAATAACACTGATTTTCAGATGTGAGGATCCTGGCTGCAAAGTTTGTTTCCCGAAGTCGGAACCTCTGAACCTAAACACAAATCCACACAGCAGAAATACTGACAAATGTGCAAAAGGAGCAAGGAGGGGCTGGGGGGTTTTGGAGGGAAAAATTACAATTAGACTAATTATATCAGACCACTTGAGCCATGGCTGCTGTCATTTGCAGATGACCCCTCCATTTCATTGCTGTTGAGAGGCGAATTAAGGAAAATAAAAACAAATGCATGAATTAAATTAAATGAATGCTCTCAGAAACTTTGAGGCCCCTTGCTGTGCCATGCTCAATTTTTCTCCTACGTGCGGCCCTCTATGACACTTCCATTAATAAGCGAATATTAAATCAAGTTCCTCCACAGGCGGAGGCCTTCAGATCAGTGCCCATTGAAGGGGGAGTCTATTACTGCAGCAGCCTCCAAAAAACTCAGGAGGGTAAAAGATATCTGTGTGAATGGAATATTAGCCTGGAGGGCTCATGTAAGAGAGCAAATACGTTAGATAGGGGGCAATATGCCGCCGTGGGTAAACCGAACGAGGCAGACTCACACAATCTGTCTGCTTTTCACACAAATGAGAACACAGACAACAGGAGAGGTGAGCGGCTCTACAGCCAGAGCTCTCACTTCTAAATGGCAGCGTATCAAAATAGCGTCAGCTACTTCTAAGGATGATGGGAAAGCATGTTTATCCACAGCTAGATCTGAGTGGAAGGGAAAATGGATGTTGCTAGTGTAGCCCCTGTTTGCAGCTAGCCCACTATGATGCAAAATATGATGCATAATTAGCAAGGGACAACAAATTGACATAATAATTACAGTCCTGGATAGTAATGGGTAAATAATTTAGTAATCAGTATTTTTGTCTTGTTTTTAAGTAAAAAAACTTAAAAAAGTAAAAATACCAAAACATCTTTAAAAAAAAAAGATTTTTCTTTAGAAGCAAACTTAAAAGATAGAAAAAATTTTATGATGATGATTTTAATCATATTATTAATCATAAAAAACAATAATAATAATATGACCAAAAAAGAAAACACTTAATTCAAGATATTGTTTTTGAACAACAGCAACAATATTTTTTTTTCTTTACCTTTACAATTTTGCTTTTCAGGTAAATTCATTTCAAGTTCAAGTTCATGTTTATTATAAAGCACATTTAAAAACAACAAGTGTTGTACCAAAATGCTGTACAATTGTAAACATTAAGCAATATAAATAGCAAAAAACCTAGCTCATAAAATAAAGATAGAACATGCAGATAAACCATAAACAACTAAGAAACCCCTATATTCTCAAGCAACATCATAGGCTAAAGAAAATAAATGAGTATAATATATCCATCTTAGTTTTTTTGTTGTTGTTGTTTACTGGAAAACAAAAAACTAAGCAATACAAAACTAAAACAACAATACTGATTAAAATGATTTTGGTGGTCAATATTTCAGGAATTGAGCAAGCACAGTATAAAGCCTCAGGGCATCTGCAGGGTGTCAGACAAACAATGACATACGTCCTAAGTTCTCCTAAGTGTTAACTTCCATCTTAAAATCATTCTTGGACTGATCTGGATCAAAGCTTACACACTCAAATCAGCCTTTCCCTCGTCACGAATAAAGGCTTCTAAAATAAGAGGGGGAAACCAGCACACTGTAAGTGACAGCCCTGGTTAGCATCACGTCCTGAGCTATGACTGGCTTCAGTATTCCCAATAGACCAGCGCTAAAGACATGTTGATTCGCTGAAGCCATCAATGGGGATGTGCTCATCAACAGATTAGGAAATTGTTTTTGTAGCTCAATACTGCTGTGAAACGAATTCATACACATTACCAACTATGATGGATTTATTTCAAAAACTCCTATTACGTGTAATGTGCCTAAGATCATGCAATCATTTAACATTTCATTTACAGAAAGAAAAGGAAAGTGCTGCCAAAAGGACACATCTTGGAGGTTAAGTACAGTATATTGCTCACATGGTTGAAAGAAATGTAGAGAACATTATAATCGGCAACCGCCAATACAGTCAACATTCCTTGGCATTCCCTAACCAGAAACAGTCTGGTTGCTGGCGTGGATGCCTAATCCACACATGCCTTAATGTCTGCAAGACAGTTTATTAGCCATTATCATGGCTCCTGACGGCACTATTTTTCCTTTTTTCGCTAAGATGTGTCTTGTTTATTGCCAAGATTTCAAGACTGCCTTCTTTTGAACTACAGGCTACTGAATATAAAGTGGAGCACTACTGTTTTAAGAAGGCCGAACGTCAGTTCAGTGGTGCACTACCATGAAGCATTAAAAAATATGCCAAGAGTTTGGAAATAGCAAAATTCTTCCCTTTAAATGTGCTGTCAAAACAAGACGTCTTTTCATCCATGCTACACACTCTTGCTATTTTCACTTATTAGTTTATGTAATTCTATATCCAGTGGCCACAAAAAGTATTTGAACACTTAAGCCACATTTAAAATGCCTGAACGTATTTGCATTAGATAACAAAATAGCAAACCAAGGGGATTTTTTTCTTGCTTCATCTGTGATTTCTATGGAACTGTTCCACTAACATTTGACAACCAGAAAGTACCCAAATCCTTGAAGTCTCTTCAAGTTTAATCAAGTGTTTTATCATTTAAAACCTCACAAACTTATTTTTATGAAATATTTTGCTTGAAAAGTGTGCTTGTTCTATCCGTCTTTAGAATAAATGCCATTTGGTTTGTCATTTTGTGTGTACTGCAATGACATTCATTTATTTTAAAAGGATAGTTCACCCACATATGAACATTCTGTCATCATTTACTCACGCTCATGTTGTTCCAAACCTGTATGACATTTTTTCCCCCCATCAGAACACAAAACAGGAAACTATGGAGTCAATATAATGCCACTTATATATGCAAAATAATAAAGTTTTGCAAAAGAAAATAAAGTTTTGCAAACGAAAATAAAGTTTTGCAAACTAAAATAAAAGTATTGAGAAAAAATAAATGTGTTTTTGCAAACAAAAATAAAGAATTGCAAAATATAAATGAAACAGCACAAAAGCAATGATTTTGCAATACATATTTTCCATGGCCATATCTACTAATTTATTTGCTACGCTGCTTTTATTTTGCGTTTCAGTGAAGTTTGAGCTTGCGATACCGTTTTTCCCTTTGCGCTTCACGTTTCTGCGCGTCTCGCTTTCTGGCACTGTTTTGACATGGGGGTGGAGTCAAGGGACGGGGGCGTGTACAACAGGCCTGGGCATGCCTCCCTGGAAGTGACGTCATCAACCCGAGACGCAGCTCACTGATCCAGGCACCATGGTTGAGCAGAGGCATGCGGGTGGATCGTTTCCTTTTATTCTCTAGCATTAAAACATGCATGTTTTCGTTTTATTAACAAATGCATATGTGTATTAGCAGTGTTTGCTCAAGTTAAAGAAGTTGTTAACATGAACATCTGCTGTTTACTTCTCTCAATGTGCACACTTTTATAGCATTAAAATGTGTATTGTTTCATTTGGTTAACTAAATGTGTTTGTTTAAAATCTCTTAACCTGTGGGAGGACGCCAGCGCACAGAAGCGTTCTTTGTTTACATGAGTTCAGAGTTACTGCTAGTTTTAATGTTAAAGAATGCAATTAACTTCATAAACTAACTTACATCATTAAAAAGGTCTACGACTCAAGGCTTCATATCGATCTCGACTTCGTTTTTCATTTACATAACTCCTGGTATAAATTAAGAAATGACTGTAACTGTAAGTTTAAAAAAAAATGAAGCTTGAGTCTTTTTGGTTTAGTTTTGTCGTGGCCACGAGATATTAATTCGTGGGAACGTGATAATATGTCGTGGACATGAGATCCTATTGAGGGAACAACTTCTAGTTGATAGTATATGCTACCATATATTTTGCATCATAATTCTGATTTTTTTTTCAGGAATAAATAGCTAAGCAACACAGTAGAGAACAATAAACGACAAAAAAAATTTGCAAAACAAAAATGAATAATTAATCCAAAGTGTGAACATTTATGAGTTGGCTAAAACATCTTAATTTGAACGTGCGTTGTGTGACTGTTTGCAGTAAGCTAACACGTTGCTCAATGACAGCCCGACAATAAAGGAATTATATGCGTAAATTTGACTTGATGGCGCTTATAGGTATAAATGCCCAGCTTTTATTCTGGTTTTATCTAAACAATTTTTTTAACAACAGGGGATTGTAAATAACACAATTTTAGTAAAAGTCAATGACTGTGAGACTTGGATATTCTTTATTGAAAACATATTGCTTTGCAGCAGCTGAGCCGCCTGGGGGCCCAGGGAGCCATAGTCCGCAAAGGAGAAGGGGGGCCCCCGTTGGTCGCTTGGCGAAGAATAGAAACCGTAATCGGGGAAGCCTGGGAGATACAGTACAGGGGAGGAGGAGGAAGGGAGGAGGAGGAGGGATGGGACTCCATCATTGGGGGAAATAGGACTTTGCATAGTAATGTTATGAGGCAATGCTTAATATCTGACTTGCATGGTTGTACAATGCAGCGTGCACTGGGAAGATAGATGGTGAGTTTGTAAAGCCACATCTTGCTGTTTCCCCTCAGTGTGACTGTGTGTGTGAAAGTTACAGTGAGTGTGTGAAGACCACCACTTTACACTATAATGCTATAAATACTTGGGTTTGCTGCAGATGGAAATACTGACACGCTACAGATCAATAAGCAAACAGAAGTCATGGTTTAAAAAAAACTTTTGATGATTACATAAAAACTGACTGACCTTAATAGATGTTCTGAGAAAGGAACGCTCATCATTTGAAATGCTAATTTGGATTCAGCATTCACAAATACATCAAGCAGGAAAATAACTAGAATACTACTGTCTGGTATTCTTGTTATTTGGTTAACATTTTTAACCAAACTACAAAGCATGTATTGAATCATGTCATCCTCTTTATGAGATTTATAAAATTTGGTTAATTTTTCTTTAATATGTCAAAATACTTACAAATATAAGAATATTTAATTGTGTGTGAGTACGTGTGTGTTTGTGTCAGTTTGTTGACCAAACTATTATGAATAAAAGTATGCTTTTAAATATTACATACAGTGGCCTTTTGAATAGTAAGGTCACATTAAAGAAATGTATGAATGTCATTGCAATAGATATCAAAATATCTATTTATTTTAAAATAAAAGGAAATTAAATACTTCTCAAAAATATTTGATGCTACTTTGTTTGATATTTCATACATAATGCAATAAGATTCAGACATTTAAAAGTGTGACTTCAGCATCTAAATATTTTTGGGGCCACTGTACACAAACAAATATATAAATAAAATAATATGCTAATTCTCAAAATGTTGCTTGCAAACATGTGATGAAAAACAACTATTACATAACCTAACTCAAGTCTGTCACTCTCTCTGTGTGAAAAGCAGACAAATATGAGAAGATGTAACCTTGTAGCTGAGAAGAAGACCTGAAAATGATCCATAGCTGATGGGGTGTAATTAAGCCGACCCCGTCCTGCACTGCAAGGTGTTAAAGAGAGGGATGGAAAGAACTCACCAGTGTACCTGCGCTAACTGTTTATAAATAGTCAATATAGTCCCTCTGCTAAAGTTTTATATCAGCCAAACTATCAGCCCAGAGAGCATCTCATTAGAGCAGCCTTGGTGAGGTACTACATTCAATTCTTCTTCCTTTTCCTCTGCTTTAATTAGTTTCAGAGGATCTCAGATATACACAGCAGAACAAATGAGGTCTATGCCAGCCTACATTTAAGAAGAGTTGAGGGAGTGATAAAGAAATATAAATAAAAGAAAAGAGAAAGGAAAGTTGATTCTCTCACAGGCTGTAGCTGCGCTGCTCTGACCTTCTCCAATCACTCATTAATTATCCACCGCTAGTCTGCTGACTGCTCACCTCAGCCCAAACCTTGAGTCTGCTCTAATGGAAAAACAACAATGGCTGCATTTTTGGTCACCAAACACATCTATTAAAGACCCAGAGACGTGTTGCTATTGCTTATGCACTACATGACCTAAAGTATGTGGACACCAGTGTGAATCTCAAACAAAAATATTCGTAAACAAAGGGTTTTTAAGTCACACTGTAAATATACCGTTTTACAACAACTCACTTAACCAAATTAAGTCTTTTAAGTCTTCACAAGGACCATTTTCATGTTGATACGTTTAAATTAATACATAAAATGTTTGAATATTTCGTTTAAGTAGGCACTGGTCAAATAAAATGTTGTTTTCACGGCTTAAACTGACTAAATTAATGAATATGACAAATAAATATTACAAACTGAAATCTCCTTACAAAAACATTAAAAGTAGAATGAGGTGAACCAAAGCAACGTCCATAAGAATGTAGATTTGTAGTTTTTGAAATGTTCAACAAGCACATACAGGTGTGGTGTTTGCCGTCTACATATTTTTGGCTATGTATTGTACCTTTCTCAGGCGCCTTTCCAAGAAAAAGCTAAATAAAATGCATGTTGCAAATTCCTGTTTTTGCATTCTGTTTCAGAGTGCCAAAACACACTAGAGAAATTCATAGGCACAAGCACTGGAAAGATGCTTACGAACAGTAAACAGAAACGAGCATGAAAATCCCCGTGCTGCCAGTACCTACACTCCCAAACGCGAATAAATCACAGATGCATCCCGACGTTCAAGCTCTCTCCCGCTAACTGCGCAAAAACGGAGGAAATGCCTGAGGTATTCTCAGAATCTTCAAGTGTTTCGGCTTCCCAGAGAGGAGGGGAAAGCCCACTCCAGCGCGCACATCTTTAATCATTTAAGGAAAGCAACCAAAAATGCACTTAGGCTGAATCCATTTTTGATGGGCCTCTCTAATAGATGGGCGTCCTTGAGGTTCAAAGGGAACCCTGGACGCGCCTCTTAATTAGACAAGCTGCCATCCCGTCCTGTTTCCCCTCATCCTCCTAATTAGATCTTTAACAACAAACAAATGAAGACCTTTTACAGGCGCGTGCGGCACGTCCTGCCTCGTCCCCGCCAAGAAAGGGGGGCACAGAGACGTCCTTTTTGTCTAACGCTCTCCGGCCCCGCCGCACATGACAATGGCTGGGTCCTGCCGCAATCTGCATAAATATTCCGCCTAATGTCCGTGGAGCGGGAACAGCGGGACGCAAAATACGACATTACCGCACATACACAAACACACCTGGTTTCTTTGTTTGCATTGACATGGAAAATTAGATCTGAAAAGCTGTTCGTTTTAATGCGGTGGCAGGAAAGGTCTTATCTAATAACGGCCTGCAGAAATTACGTTTATTATCCAGGTAGATCACGTCCAATGACAGTGCTATCTGAAGCAGAAACATGGAATAAAACGCAGTTAAAAAGTGCCCATTTACTGTCTATAGAGAAAGCCATCTGGCGGAATAGGGCTGCTTGATTACCTTCGCCGGCTAATTCTCTCTCTGAGCGCATGCAAATGATTTACTTTGACCAAGTGGAAGTGAGGGGAAAAAAAAGTGGAGCTAAATTAAACACTGCCGTTTTTAAACATCAAAAGTTGCCACAATAATGGCTCCTCCGTGATGTTCCATGGTATTGTACGCTGCCAATCAGACAGAGAATAGCACTCTGAATGTTTTATGCCTCTGTGAATAACTCCGGGATGAAGCAAGGACGCAGGGTGTGAGTTTTGTGTGCGTCTATGTGTGTCCTTCCATTAATAGGGACTGCGAACGCTTTCTTAAACTGCAACCCCACAGTCAAACTACACAAAAAGCTTAATATCTTCTCTTCTCCTTCCACAAAAACAAATACCGAACTGTGTTGTGTACCACGGGCCTCTCCCCTTCGCTCAAAGAGAAATCTAATTACTCTATAATGGCAGGTTTGGGGGGAGCGTGTACATCGTTGACAGGAGATAGATGCGTAAACTCACTTCCCCCGACTTGATGAATAGCGGTACAGAAACGTGAAGTTTTCGTTCGTGGTGGGCATACGACAGCACCTCGTCTATTCATCATTCCGCCTCTGTGAGCCGCACGGAGGCCCGTGAACACACTCCGAGGTCGTGTCTGAACAGCTGGGAGTAGGTCATCCAGATGTGCCTTTGTCTGGGCAACATCTGCACTGAGCCCGGACCCCCCAGTAAGGGGAGGGACGGGGGGCCGACGTGAGAGCGAGCTCAGAATGGATGCACTCTGGAAGGTTGTCAACCACACCATTACGAGGCCCATCTGGGTGCTTCAGAGCCGTTGCTGAGATGAAAGCACTGGTTGCTTTTTACCCCCCCCCCCAATGCTGCAGCTTTGTGCTATTATACATAATATCTGTCAGAGCAGCATCAAGAAACAGATACATAAATACATGAATACGTAAATAAGAGGCCCTTTTATCAGCTGTTTAATGAACAGAGAGCAGCAATTTGTCACCGCTACATGCATCAACACAGTGGCGGATAGTCTTTTTTCTAGTAGCATTAAAGTCAGGACCGCATCAGTCGACAGCCAGTGCAATATTAAGACAGTGGTCAATATAATAAGTTTAATAAAATCAATTAAGAGCTATTTTAAATTAATTATACAGTCGGTTTAACAGTCAGGGAGTCACAAGTAAGAAGTAAGACCTTGACAGCAATAACATTTTCTGGTTAAACATATCTCGTATCAAACTGAGATTTTCTGTCCTGAATTACTCCTTATTTGTCAAAATGGACAGTAACTGTGAATGCTAGCCCTCAGGATGGTACTACAGTGCCTCAGGCAGTCATCTTTCCTCGTACACGAACATCTACTTGGCTAACATGTTTTTTGGGCAAATCCTCCATAGGCCTGCTTGTATTGATCTGAAAGGCTGTAGGGAAAATACAGGGCTAAAGCACTAGATAGGAATAAGATACATCTATGTTTGCAGTGCTATTCACAGAAAAACATTGTGACAGATATTATCTGTCAACATCTGATGTTGTCATATATAGTCACATCAGCATCATACTGCAGTACACCAACACAATAAAAACAATATGACTAATATGAAAAAAAAAAAAACATGCATAAGTAGAAAAAAATAAAATCAAAACAAATAAAAAGCAGAGAAAAAATATAAACCACAAAATTCAACAAAATTCAAAATAAAACAGCAAAAACAACAAAACCTACAAAATACAAAACAAAAAAAAGCTAAACGAAAAAAATCACAAACAACAGAAACGAAGTGCAGAAAGCAAAAACAAACTAAATAAAAAGCAAAAAAAAAATTCACAGAACAAAACAACTAAACCCAAACAAAATAAAAAGCAAAACCCTCATGTTTTTGTTTGCTAATCCCGTTTTCTGCTTCATTTAGATCTTAGGAGCAATTCACTAAGCCAAATCAATCAGACCACCTTTACTGAGGGCTTTTGGTAAA